GAAATTAGCCGACAATCAAATTCTGTGCTGACTTATTCCCTGCTCACAGATGTCCTTCCGTTATAAAGTTTCAAATAAGACCTTGGGCGTCAAAATAAGCAACCAATCATGAATAAGCCGATAACGCATAAAGAAAATTTCCGCGTTATAACTGACTTTTATCTTAATTGAAAACAATCCATCCATGTGCAGATAAAAAAACATTCAAAGTGCGGTGGCTTTTCTTCCTTAAGATCGACATTTCAGTGGTATTTATATTCCAATACAATTTCTCTCTCTCACCCTTTTTTCAAATTTTTGGGGTGTTGGTTTGGGAACTCTGTCGAACTCTCTTTTCTTCGGCGATCCTCAAAACTAGTGCTGGGACCGACTTTTTAAAAGCGTGATAATATTAGTGAGTTTTAGACTATGTTTACATCGTACTGGACAGCTTTTGCGCCGGCACGAAAATCATACCGGATAGAGCTTCGGTTCACACATAAGAACGTTGATTTCGGTGCGCTTTCTGTAACAGAGCGAAGCTGCCCGCGTCAATCTCTAAAGTGGAGAGTTTAGCTTTTAGCCTTAGATTCACGTTTACGGTAAAGTCGCCATACGGCAAATTCAAGGTGACAATTTCTCATATTCAGAAATGAGCAGAAATACTTCATATGGATGAATCTGGCATGAATTAGCTACTAGTTTTTGCATTATAAATAGCAAACGACAAGTAGAGTGAGAACTTCGTCATGTGGTACAAATTGACGTTGCCGTTTTCCGTAAAGGTGAATCTAAAACTCTCTAATGGATTGATATTTCACACTTCATTGAGAAAACAGTGTCCGGCACCTGGAAACTGCTAAACCAAGAGAGATCTAAAAAGGGCTTTAACTTGCACATGCATCATAGATCAGCGAGAATCGAGCGAGCGATCATCGTCATTCATTAAATAAATATGAGTCAAGAGATCGTATAACAGAACAGGTCAAGCGTGTTGTTCTTAGAAAAGGGAAGGGAGTTAAAAGGAAAAGGGAAAAACAAGAAATTCTGTATCAATCATATAAGTTTAATAAACTATGTATTTGTTAAAGTAAACTGCAATTGTCTCTTTGCGGACAGATGGCGGAATTTAACAATTTATGGACAGGATCGGAAAATAGTGAGTAATAACTACAAATAGATATTTTGGCGTTTTGAAATAGTACTCCGAACTGCCAACGTCAGTAATACTGAAAAATGAGATTATTGCCCGGTGGTTTTGGTCAAACATTTTATCAACATATAAGCAATAAACAAAATTAACTACTGGCGCCACCGGTCTGACAAACATTGAATTTCTGCGTTTAAGTTTCTTAGTCATGTCTCTAATTGTTCTAAATTGGGGACCTTTGACGTTCCAAAAAAAAAATTAAACATATCCTGTGTTGAACGTTATCTTTGAGTTTTAATTGCTTTAAATTTTGTTTGCTTTATTGACCAAACCATTTACGTAATTTATAAAACATCTTCATTAGCAACCTATATATTTACTCGACAAGTTTGCTCAGAATTAAGAAGCTTTTTGACACCAAAAGTTGGTAAACATACAACCGATCAAAGAAGCTGAAAAATTTGAGGTGCGTAAGATATAAAACTTTTTAACAAGAATGGCAGATAGAGATGTTTGTAACTACAACATTTCGTAATCATTTATCAATTTTGATCATCCTTTGACAGAGAACATCTTCATGTCCAACGGTCACAAATGCGCCGTATGTGGAATATTCACTTGTTAGGGTCAGGACTTAAAAGAACTTTTCCGCTTCTCTCTAGCTCGCTTTTTCTCCCAGAAATGCTTAATCCTTAGGTCTCAGGCTAACAAGTTGTAAATTGCTAGAGAACGAGTTGAATTTGCATCGTGGACTGACGGGCCCTTTTTAACTTTGGGTGAAAGTGGTCATTTGAAATTGTGAGTTACCTTTGTAAAGCCAAACAACATTGGAGTATTTACTTTTATGTAAGGTACGTCACGGCTCATCAGTGAATTAGAATTGCGACTGGTTAAGTTTGAGTGAGTGAAGTCGTATCAGGTCAAGTCAGGTTTTTTTCTCTTTTCAATGAAAGAAACAGAAATTAATGAAAACAACGAGTATTTGCATTTCGTGAGACAGGCATGTAGACAACAGAAACTATACAAGATGAAGTGAAGGGAGTTGAAGTAACTACGAGTTTCCAAAGCCAACTCCCAAAAGTGAAATCTATTAGATAATTATTTTTTACAATACACTTTGAGAGGTAGAATTAAATAAAATCTGAAAATTGGAGGTAGATCAAAGATAGTTTGACAGTTGTAATAGTCGGCTTAATTTCCCCTTAAATTGACTCCTACAAAGGTACTGTTTTTATTTATTCACTCGTTCCAGTAGCAACGACCGAGCATTTCCAGTAAAGCGAACAGAAAATTCGTCATAATTTGGGAAGAAAATAATTGGAGTGGGCATCCCTAATATAAAAGAAATGAATCTTAGAAACAGGCTTAAAATAACTTTCAAATATACTTCAGGCAGCTTATGATTAAAAAACAATCATAAACAATAATAAACATATAAGTCTATAAAAACGAAATATAAGGTCATTGAAGTATAGTTAACTGTTTAAAAAGTGGCGGAGCATGGGACTGGAAATGAGAATTGTTTATCAGTCTCATAAGAAATAGGAATTTGCAGATTGTGACGGTCAACTTTGAAACCTTCACTGTATTTTCTCACTTACATTTTAAATTCCCCTAGGGTGAGGTTTTACTGTGCCTTAAAAATATGCGCGAAGACTGTGTAGACCGAAATCTTGAACAAAACCAGTTTTTCTTTGTATAGCATCGAAAGATGGCGCGTTTCCCCTATTGCAACGTATAAACTGAACCCTTTAGTTGCTTTGTCGTGCTTTTCAGTACGAACTACATGCTTTTTCGTCCGCAAACTGTTCTATTCCATCTTTACTTGAGTTTTACTTAACTCATATTTTTATCAGGTTTTTAGTTCTTTATTTCGAGGCTACATTTATACAGTTTCACTGATGTGAAACAGAGCAGAAGTTTGAATCAGAATACTATATATCCTTGACGGAAAGAGTGATGAAACAGTATTTTTAAACGATAAATTCAAATTGTATCTTCTAATTCTTTTCATCTCGGTATTTTTTTTTGTTATTAAATTTTGTTTCCTTTTAATTCAATATATCCAGGGCCCGCGTAGCAGTTTTCAAAGTGCCGGGGGCTGATCCACCTCTTTTGAAGTGAAGTTGGGGGAGGGGGGCGGAGGTTGTAGGGTTGTGGACTTTAAAAATGATTTACCTGGTGCCGACTCAATATTTTTTAATACAGTTGCAACTCATCAAGCATTTTTTTAAATAGTTTAACAAACGAGAAGGGAGTTAGTAACAAAGAGATGTAACCGTGCACAGCAGCATCATAATGTTCGCGTGTTTCATTTACTTGAAAAGCTTGTCCGTTTTCTCTTTGCGGCTGTTTAGAACCTTTCTTTATTCATTGTCACGTAATGGAGCCCTGTTTTAGACGGTTTTAACCTTCGAGCCGCCGAAATTGACCTTTTCATGCTGCGATGGTTGCGGATTTACCAGCAGAAGCTTGCAGATCGGGACAATTTCATTTATCATGCTCTGCAATATCTTGATATTAAAGTGTGAAAACGTGGAACGGTTATCCAGACATTTTTAGCTCTTCTCAAGCTTAGAAATTTCTAGGCAATATTTGCTCCTTCGAACAGTTATTTTACAGAATATAGTCGCTGGGTGCCCCTGAGTTTTGTGCAGATAGTCGTTTTCAGTGAGGATCACCATATGATATAGGATCGAAACGGACCAATCATCAATTTGGATGCTTCGGCGAGGTTTGCCAGTCGAATATTCTTATTCCATCAAAGATTCCTTTTATTTGAAAATGTGTATTTCTTTTCTTTTCTTTTCTTTTTCTTCAAAAAGAGGGGACTTTGTTTCAAATTACGCATCAGTTGGCATATATTTTTTTTAAGTTCTTTTTCTTTTTTCTTTTTTGACCGTCGCATATACGAGTCAGTAAATATATTTTCTTTGTTGCCATCTAGACTGCAAGGTTATCCCAGTATAGAGCACCTTTATCTGGCCGATTCATCGCTTGCAAGAGTTGGTTCATAGAAGCACTTATCTATTTACGAATTTGTCCTCAGAAATTTTGTTTTCTTCTAATTCGATCCAGTAAGTGTCTGATATATTACACAATGTTTATTTCATGTAGCATGAAGATTTCAGTGATCCATTTTGATTTCTCTGTTTCACGGTTTCCGTATCTATGGGACGATAAATTTTATACAATAAGTGAATTAAGGGAGTTATTGACTGGAAATAGCTCTGAAAATTGTAGTAACATCAAACGTATTTGAGCCTGCAGCTGCTTGGATCTTTCTCTAAATTAAAAATACATCAGTATAGGGGAGATAAAAAAACTGTCTTATATTTCGTTTTTTTAGTTCTTCTTGAATGGCGGTTTCAACTTTTTCTTAGTAAGCTTGAATGCAGGGCTTTTGACATTGACTTTGGTGCAATTCAATAAACTCCAGAACATGGTCAGCGATCGGATAAATTCCCTGAGGGTACTTCTTTATCTAAGTTGTCCCCGGGTTACTATTAAATATATGAACTTAGTGATAGGACCATATTATACTTATCCCTATTATATTACAGCTATGCCCGTTAGGTATGTATATAATCTGTATAGCTATATACCCCTTTTGGTCTGAAAATGGGGAAGAGAATTTATCCCCAGTTTTAACCCGAAATAGAACAGAGTAAGGAAAGTCAAATTTGTTTGTGTGAAATAGGGTAAAGGATTTAGGAATTATATTACGGCGCACAGCCCCACCGCAATTTCCAGGGCCTCCACATCCCACCCCGACTCGTGGTTATGCATCGGTTCTCCTTCACCAACGAAATTCATTTTTACATGTCAATGAATATTATTCAATATTATTTTATTTTTACAAGCTTGGACGATGGCTGACATGACAACATTGATAGTTATCAGTTCCTTTATCATGTTCCCAGCTGTGATGATGGCACAGGAAGTTGTAAACCATGGAGGTAATGACTAATGACATCAGGACCAAAATTTTATTGCGCACCTATTTGTAGGCATTATGTTTAAGCACCCTGTTGCTGTTTCATATACAGAAAGCTGTCAAAAAATCATTCTGAAGTAAAAAAAAAAATGAAATAGTGATTTTTACCCATAAAAAATGTGCGATCAAGACTTCAAAACGAGCCAGACGCCTTCGTTCAAGACTGATCCTCTCTTTTACTTTCTTAATAGATTTTCAATGAATTTGTATGTTAGAAAATCGTGCTATTATTATTATTATTATTATTATTATTATTATAATCGTCATCTTCATTTTTCTATTGTTATCAAATTATAATTATTCCTGTTCCTATCCTACCGTGGCGAAGGTTTATAATATGGAGCTTATAAAGCAACAACGACGGCAACGGTTACAAAAACGTCAATATTGATATCTGTATTGTAACTCTGGTTATTGACCTGATTGGTTAATTAAGTCTCGATGTGATTGGTCCTGGTCAGTTAAGCCGTAATGTTATTGGTTATGAAGACTCGGGTCGTTTCGATCGGTCTTTTGTCACAGTTTAACTGCGACGATCCAGCGACAAGAAATGGTGATGTCAACAATCACACTTCTTATTGATGAACATGCCCCATTTCCAGGCGAAAAATTAAATCGACCAGGACTTTGCGACACGTATTACGCATTCTACAGACTACCATAACTAGAACTCATCTTAGAAAGCTGGCTTACAAAATTAGACCAAAAGCCACTGGAATCGCAGTCAACAGGCACAGTACAAACGACTTATGGCGGACTCAAGCAAAACTGACAAAAACAGAAGTGACTTTATAGGCAAGAGACAATTTGACTAACAATAAACGACTGTAACAACAAACGACTTTGACTATGAAGATGACTACCCGACACAGTCCTATTCAGGACTACACCCTGACGATCATGCTCCACCTACTTATGGATTTATAATTACTGTTCATTTATTGTTTTGCTGTTTCGCAAGTTTGTCCCGTTCCGATGAATAAAGAAGAAGAAGAGATAATTAAAGAGCAGGAAAGAAACAGAGAAGAAATGGAAGAGATCATGAGAGAGATTGAAATCAGTTGTTTAGGTGAGTGATAAAAAACCATGGGATGAATATTTAAGTACAAGTAAAAATAACTTAAGGAGGGTTGGGGTCGTTTTTGTCATACAAAGAACAATGTAAATTATACATTTCTGAACCCGTTCTCTTCATTGAAAGCGTTGTCGCTCGTTGGACGAAAAAAGTCCCACCCGGATACCCGGGGGGTGAGGGGGGGGTACTCCGGATTTCAAGGGACAGATCCTTAGAGCTTTTGTTCCAACGCCTACTCTCCATTGTATAAACAACGCTCCTCATTCAATCTCAATTCGATTATAGTGATATTGTCTGGGGTAATTGTGGAAAAACTTTGTTTGACAGGCTACAGAAGCTTCAGAACCGTGCTGCTCGTTTTCTAACCTTTTCTAGATATGATGCTGATGCCAACCGCTTATTTAAACAACTTAATTGGAAAGACTTGAGCACTCAGGTTCAAGTACAAAAAGCCCTGATGGCTCACAAGTCTTTAAATGATCTTGTTCCAGGATATTTATCCTCTAAATTGTTAAACGATGTGAAACGCGCTACTCCCTAAGGGACTCTGTTAACAAACTGAGTGGGAACTAACTTCATGAAGAAAAGCTTCAGTTATAGGGGAGAAGTGATACGAGAGGGCTAAATTTTTAACAATACCAAGTAACCGCACTGAAGCACACGTACCATCACTGCGTTATGGCCAGTACCTTCTGTATGCGCACAACTATATCACCCGATCAGTGGCAGCTCTGGACAGCTGGTTCACTCTTATTGGGGCTCATCAGCTTGGCATAGCCGTTGGGTCACTTGGCGGGGGATAGTTGGCGTAATAAAGGCCATTTACTGCCGAAGCGAATGCAAGCACTGCTTTAAGCGCCAGCTCCACCGTAAACAAGTGGTAGCTGTTGGTTGGGAACTGCAAAGCAGTTTTCCCACGGCATGCTTATGGAGATGGTATCAGAAAAATTGACCTGTGTGCTCAAATAAATTTGAAACAATACCAATTAACTGCATTGAAGCACACGTTTCAACTCCGCGGTATGGCCAGTACTTTACGCATGAGCACAACCATGAGCCCCAATAAGGGCGAAACAGCTGTCCATGGCTGCCAATGCCGGGGTGATATGGTTGTGCGCATGCGTAAGGTACTGGCCATACGGCGGAGTTGGTACGTGTGCTTCGGTGCAGTTAATTGGTATTGTTTCTAAATCTTTAAGTCAATTTAAACGATTGGCTCATCTGAATTTCTTATTTTTTAAGTACTGTGTACACGGCATTCATGAAAAACAGGTCTTAGTTAGGTTAGTTATATATACAGTTGTGCATATTGTTTAGGGTAGTTAGGTTTATTTAAGATCTTTTATACTCCTGATAAATTTTAACGTGTTTAAATAAAGAATTATTCTTTTCTATTCCTGTCAGCTGAAATCCGGAGTACCCCCTCCACCCCCCTGACACGGATGCAAAACCGGAAGTCACTGGACAGTGTACAGGGGCACCCAACGGGAACTTTTAAAACAACAACAAAGCATGAATAAAGCTTTCTGAAGCCATTTTAAGCATTTTGAGAGATTGCTACTATAAATTAATCTGTTCCTCACTCCCAGGAAGACTGATGGAAGAGTTCCTAGCCAGCAAGGTGTACCTACAACCTGAAACCTGGCTTACTGGACGCTTCCCAGCAGACGTATGTCCAGACATTACTGGCCAGTTTTGGTGTGGTCATGGGACAAAGTTCACTCCTCAGCAGTGGGGGTGGGGGAGGGGTTTCTGATCCATGACACATAGTAACTATTCTAAACATCAAATCCCCTCAGACACATCTTTTTCTTAGCAACACTTTCCCTCCAAGGACATATTATTTCTTCCACATCTCCCAGCCAGCAAAAATTGGCCTGCAGAACAGATATTTTGAGGAACAGATCCATTGGGTGCCCCTGAGTGTAGCCTAGCAGCACTATACGATGCGTCCTTAGGAGTACAAAGTTTCTTGATTGAAGTTTTAAGACTAACGTTCCAAGTCCTTAAACAAACTTGTTTAGTAAATCACGCCGTGGTTGGTGACATTGAACGAAGAGTATTCATAGATTATAATAATTTGAACTCAATTGAACTGTTGCAAATAAATAATTTAATCAACTCTTGATGGGCTGAAAGTGAAAACTGACTTTGCAGGTGGATTACTTTACGTCAAATAAAATCTTATACCTAACTTCCAGTTGTTGATTTGTAGATGAGTGTAAAACAGGACAACATAACTGCCACAATGATGCATACTGCACCAACACCAAGGGTTCCTTCACTTGTACTTGTAAGCCAGGATATACTGGGGATGGTGTTAACTGTGCAGGTAGCAAACCATTCAGAGCTTAAACTAACAGGATTTCATCTTTAGTTTTATGCTATTCCATACCATAGAGATTAGAGCCAATCAGAAAGCTGGAAACCGGTTTCATATTTGGTCAGTGGTATGTCACAGATCGATAGTTTCTTGGTGTTGTGGACGGGTGCAACCACAAAATGACGTAATACAAAAGATTAAAAAGACACTGAACAATATCCACACCACATAACAATAGCTAACCAACAATAGTTTCCTCATCACCAAGAAACACCCCACGGGTCGTATTCATGAAAAATGTTGGTGTTAGTTGCAGCCTCCGGATCCCTGTAGCCAGCGAACAGGCTCAAAACTCCCCCAGCGAAAGCTTTCCAAGTGTGCAACATGTAAAACTGAGTCGACATAAAAATCGAACAAAGTCAGTTGCGATTGATAATTCAGCATTAACTCTTGATTGCAGACATAAACGAGTGTCAGACTGGATACCACCTATGTGACGCCGATACTTCAGTGTGCGTTAACGCTAAAGGATATTACAAGTGTGTTTGCAAAAAAGAATATAAACATAAATGTACAGGTAAACATACCACCGAGCACTTTAAAATATGCTAATTGAAATGTATACTTTAATAATGTCTTCTTCTTTTCTCGGGTTTACGTGGGGTGAATCAGGTTCAAATGATAAACGCATCGACAAAATAGGAACGTGGACGGTACATTATGATGCTTTTTAAAACAGATCTACGGTTTGATAATTCAGCGTTAACTCTCTTAATTTGCAGACAGAAACGAATGTGAGACAGGAAAATACAACTGTAATGCCACCAGTTCATTGTGCCGTAACACTAAACGATCCTTTTAGTGTGCTTGCAGGGAAGGGTATTTCGAAAGTGCCGTTGTTTAGTAAATCCCGCCGTGGTTGGTGACATTGAACGAAGAGTATTCATATAGATTATAATAATTTGAACTCAATTGAACTTTTGAAAATAAATAATTTAAACAACCCTTGATCGGCTGAAAGTGAAAACTGACTTTGCAGGTGGATTACTTTACGTCAAATACGTTCTTATACCTGGAGAGGATAAAGGGAACAGAGAAGGCATCCCCCATACACACCCTATTCCATAGATAATTCGTCTCGAGTTATTTTTAGAATCGGGATAAAGTTACCTCGCGTGCTGCGTGGATGTTTCGTGGAGGTTTCGCATGACTACACGCCGTGCAAAACACGTCGGGCGAAAGGCAATGAAAGCGTAAAGAGATCGAGAGCATCCCTGAATATTGACGCGAAATGAGTCGGCGCTCACCTGGGAAAAGGGAATCGCTGGACTCTTTGACAACCCGTCAAATCAGTTCAACTCGAAGTTGTCGTAACCCCAGTGCTTAAATACAATGAGAAATTTCGCCGGTCTATTGAAACCGGTCGTTTGTACAATAAAGCAAGTAGGCCGCTAAGTGTTATTTTTGTTCAATAATAAAAGAATAAATATCAAACCAGAAATTGCTCTCTTCAAACTGTAAATTATAAATGATCCAGAGAGAATATTCAGGGTGTTGAGGATTTCCCTGCTGTACTGTTGGCCCTATACAAGAGAGGAAGGGCGATTCTTTTTTAATTTCCGTCTCGCTGACACAGCTTTAGCAGGAATCTCTCTGTAGTCGTTTTCGTCGCCAAAACGAATGGCAATATCGCTCTCCGCGTCTTGCGCCATTTTGGTCTACGTCAATTCGTGAAGGACACGCGGCTCTGAGCGTGGGTCATCGACGCGACACACATTCGCGCTATGTGATTGGTTGTTGTCTAATCCCCCTTCGGATCTGCGGTCTTAAAAATAACTCATTACCTATTACGAATTACCTATGGAATAGGGTGTGTATGGGGGATGCCTTCTCTGTCACCTTTATCCTCTCTTGCTTATACCTAACTTCCATTTGCTGATTTGTAGATAAGTGTAGAACAGGACGACATAACTGCCACGATGATGCATACTGCACCAACACCAAGCGTTCCTTCACTTGTATTTGTAAGCCAGGATATACTGGGGATGGTGTTAACTGTGCAGGTAGCAAACCATACAGAGCTTAAACTAACAGGATTTCATCTTTAGTTTTATTCTATTCCATACCATAAAGATTAGAGCCAATCAGAAAGCTGGAAACCGGTTCCATATTTGGTCAGTGGTATGTCTCTGATCGGTAGCTTCTTGGTGTTGTGGACGGGTGCAATCACAAAATGACGTAATACAAAAGATTAAAAGGACACTGTACAATATCTACACCACATAAAAATAGCTAACCAACAATAGTTTCCCCGTTATCGAGAAACACCCCACAGGTCGTATTCATGAAAAATGTCTGGTGTTAGTTGCAGCCTCCAGATCACCCGTAGCCTGCGAACAGGCTCACATGTGCGTTTTTGAGGGACAATCGGGCGTGCACATTTCCTAGCCCTATTATTCTCGTTGGCTTTGTCTGCTTGAGCCGCCAAAATTTTCCTTTCGCGGGCTAAAATTCCCCCAGCGAAAGCTTTCCAAGTGTGCAACTTGTAAATTGGTTTATCATTTGTATTTTTTAGTCATTTGGCATTCAATCTAACTTTCTTTTTTGTTTTGTCTATAAAAATATGATATATATCTATCCTCATTGGATAGAATCGACACAAAAATCGAAACCGATTGATAATTCAGCATTAACTCTTGATTTGCAGACATAAACGAGTGTGAAACTGGAAACCACCAATGTGACGCCGATACTTTAGTGTGCGATAACACTAAAGGATCTTACAAGTGTGTCTGCATGCCGGGTTTTTCCAAAAGTGGACATGAACATAAATGTACAGGTAAATATACAACCGAGCACTTCAAGATATCAATTGAAATGGATACTTTAAAAATGTCTTCTTCTTTTGTCGAATTTAAGTGGGGTGAATCAGGTTAAAATGATAAAAGCATCGTCAAAATAGGAACGTATACGGCATATTATGATACTTAACAGATCTACAATTTGATAATTGAGCATTAACTCTTAATTTGCAGACATAAACGAGTGCGAGACAGGAAAACACAACTGTAACGCCACCAGTTCATTGTGCCAAAACACTAAAGGATCATTTAGGTGTGTTTGCAGGGAAGGGTATTCCAGAAGTGTACCTGAAGATAATTGTACAGGTAAATATACTACCGAGCACTTCAAGATATGTTGATTGAAATGGGTACTTAAATATATCTTCTTTTTTACAATGTTCCTCAGTTTTCGCATGCTAAATTCCCCCAGCGAAAGCTTTCCAAGTGAGCAACATGTAAATTGGTTTATCGTTTGTATTTTTTTAGTTATTTGGCATTCAATCTAACTTCCTTTTTTGTTTTGTCCACTATAAAAATTTATCGTTCTTTTGACCATAAAAATATGATATATATCTATCCTCATTGGATAGAATTGACACAAAAATCGAACCCGATTGATAATTCAGCATTAACTCTTGATTTGCAGAAATAAACGAGTGTGAAACTGGAAACCACCAATGTGACGCCGATACTTCAGTGTGCGATAACACTAAAGGATCTTACAAGTGTGTCTGCATGCCGGGTTTTTTCAAAAGTGGACATGAACATAAATGTACAGGTAAATATACAACCGAGCACTTCAAGATATCAATTGAAATGGATACTTTTAAAATGTCTTCTTCTTTTGTCGAATTTAAGTGGGGTGAATCAGGTTGAAATGATAAAAGCATCGTCAAAATAGGAACGTATACGGCATATTATGATGCTCAACCGATCTACAGTTTGATAATTCAGCATTAATTCTTAATTTTCAGACATAAACGAGTGCGAGACAGGAAAACACAACTGTAACGCCACCAGTTCATTGTGCCAAAACACTAAAGGATCATTTAGGTGTGCTTGCAGGGAAGGGTATTCCGGAAGTGTACCTGAACATAATTGTACAGGTAAATATACTACCGAGCACTTCAAGATATGTTAATTGAGATGGGTACTTAAATATATCTTCTCCTTTTCAGGCACGGGTTTACGTGAATCAGGTTTAACAGAAATTGTGTAATTCATCAAAAACTCTTGTTTTCTTTTCTTAGTTTTTCCATTTTTTTTTCTTTTGCTTTGCTTTGAAAATAGAGATTGAATTAAAGAGATCGGAACTAACTACTTGAAGAGCGCAAAATAGCGCGACGCACTCGCTCGAGGGCCATGCGCACTGTCCTTCATGAACTGGAATGAATGACAGAATGACGCATTGTCGATGGTTTTTTTTTTTACAGTGTCAACTTGCAAGGACATTTATGATACGACTTTGTGAGTACAGCATACGTGATTACTATGGTGTTAGCAACATTTTTTACTACTTTTTTCGTCTCGATATAACACACAATTTTTCTCATATCATAGTAAGTACCAGTTTCTTCAGGCTCGGACTTTAGACAACGGCTTTCTTTGCGTGCAATGTAACCACATCCCCCCCAAATTAACTGCTTAAGCTTCGTCATGTGGAGCACTATGTCAGTTAGTGTTATCTGGAAAAGGTGTTTGCAATGGTTTTTACTAGGAGCAAAACCTCCCAAGTTTGAGCTTTAATTACATATTGCGGACAACTGAGATCTCGGAAAAATGAAATCATGGCTTTAATAGACATAGAGGAAATCTTGCTAGGACCAGTGTCAATACCAAATTTTAAAACAAATTTATTGAACAGTTTCGCAGTTGTTATCGCGTTTATAGAAGTATGACACCACTTTTATGAAAAATTAAAGATTGGAATAAATTACTGATAAATCTGAGAAAGGTCCAAGTGTCAGAATTGTTAGAAAGGAATACGAGAGAGCTTTAATTTGATAATTAAAAGAATTTCATAATTCTGATTAAACAGACTTTGAACTTGTGAGTAATCAAGGCAATAGAGTGATGAAATATGTTGTATACTTCCTGATTTTTACCGTGCATATTTCTTAATCATATAAATTATTATATGTTAATCAGTATTATTCTAAGCTGTTTAAATTTGAGGGCCACAAGTTCATCCGTTTGACACTCGATCTTGCTGTCACTTGTTACCTTCTTACGTAAATGCAGTTGTCATCATCATGATCTTACTGTGCAATAAACAATCAAGAAGGCAACACTATTCAGACCGTGTTACATTTCGCCATGTCACCTAGTGCCATAAAATGAAACTGTAGCAGCAAAGGTTTCCAAATTTTTTTGTAGATATTATTTAAGTGTTGGGCCACAAGTTCAAATTTCCATCACTTCGGCTAGTGTTATGTTTGTAGCTGTCTGTCTATTAATTTTCAATAAAGTGTTTCTATTTTTAAGGTTGACATACCTCTACGACAAATTTGTTGTCTCATCGGCACACCCTAAAGAAAGGGTTTGCCGGAATTGTAATGGTAGCTTTCTACCTTTCTACACACATGGTTTATATATCGACATAGGATGATGAATGCGCGTACAACAACAGTACCACGAATAATGATGTACACCTACAAGCATTAATTGAAAAGAGCCTGCAACTAAAACCCATCCAATATAAATACCCGGAGCATGATATCGACATTCGATGGGCTGCTGCTTACTTTAAAACAATACACATTCGATGAGTAGAAAAACACCGTTGAGTGGCAGAATTATCAAAGTCAGGTAGAAATTTAACATTGTTTGGCAATCACATTATTTCTCAAGGTACAAGATTCCATGGCCTCAGGAACTGCAAAATGATAAGCTTGTTTAAAAAGAATGCAAAGCTCGACGCGACATGCCTAACCATCTAACGCCGTGAAACCTTGGAGGACCGTTCTTTCATTCACAGATTTTAACCTTTTAAAGTCGCTAGCCCCATCAGCTCGCTCTTTAATCTAGTCTTTGGACTGTTTGCCTTGTTTACATGTAGTAAACAAATGTAGTATAGTTTCTTAGAAGCGAGAGAAAAAATAACAGGCTTAGTAGATTTTGTATCGTGTATTGTGTGAATGAAACCGACGGTATGTCAGGTACACAACAGAGTAAATTCGCATTTAATTTCACTGCACGCCTGTTAAACTTCGATCAATCAATCAATTTGTTTGCCCTTTTTAACATAGTACAATAATTACACAGGCTTATAATTAAAATATACTTGGGCAGGAACTCTCACCAAACCCTGTAGGGCTATTCGAGGAGAGCCCCTGGACACGTTTTATACAAGTATGATTTAAATTAAGATTACATGTCTGTGTTAAAGATTGCATGCATAAAGTATGGAGCGACTACTTACATTTTTATTATATGTTGATTAAAGATCTTGTCTTCTTGAAATGTTTGCCGTTAGAATTATGTTATCAAAAGCTCTCAGAGCCCTTTTTATTCACTGACACAGTAATTTGGCTTATAAACTCTGTGCATAATTCGCGATACCGGATCGCGCACAATTACAGCAGCCGCAAGCGAAAGATGTACCTTATTATAGGAAATTAAAGCTCAATGAAA